TCTAATATATTGTTAAAGTCCAACTTTGTAGGTGTCGCTTTATTTTCTGATGTGAGAAAATTACGATAAACTTTTCAAAATAATCAGAGTTTGTTTGTTTTTGAATTTCGCGCTAGCCGTCCCTAATTTAGCAGTGTAAGACTAGAGGGAAGGCAGCTAGTCATCACCACCCACCGCCAACTCTTGGGCTACTCTTTTACCGACGAATAGTGGGATTGGCCGTCACATTATAATGCCCCCAAGGCTGAAAGGGCGAGCATGTTTGGTGTGACGGGGATTCGAACCCGCGACCCGTAGACTGCGAGTCGAGCGCCCTAACCACCTGGCAATAAAGTTAGAAAAAATAGCCTTTACTCTCCAAATAATAATAAAAAATAGCCTTTACTTTATTTCAGTCAGAGTTTCACCATTGCGGCTTCATCAGAGATACTTGTTGCGAGGAGTGGAACACATTATATACTTTATACAAAAGTCCAGATATACAGCTTTTGTGTGAATAAATAATCCACCCAAAAGCTGCATCTCTGGACTTTTATTCATCAAGGCTAGTAGTACAATAGTGAAATAATATATTTTTATTATCTTGAGTATAAAGGTATTTTTTTTTTAATTTTATTGCCAAAATGTCTAAATCTCTCAAACATATATTACAAATTTTGAAAAAAAACAACAACAAATTACGGATTATATTTTGCTCATAGCGAAAAATGTAACTTTTAAAACAAAATGCATTGTTACACTAATAATATGAAAGGTACCGTAACCAACAATACAGAGGTTTTATTTTATTACAAGTTTCAGCTGCTATGTAAAGTAAGGAATAATATTTTAAAAACAGGTGCGACGTTTCGTTCACTGGTGCGATTATTCTCAAGTATACAAATGGTCGGAACGTTGTACTCGTTTTAAAAAATATTCTACCTCACTGTAAAAGCTGTAACTTGTAATAAAATAACGCTTATAACACTGGCCTGCGATGGTTTTATTGTCTAGAAATATTGTTGCGTCAGCGAGGTCACGTGACTAGTGTCACGCCACCTGCTTTCTAGAACTATCTTCGGGAGTGCTCTAGCATTTACTAGATATATGTTTGCCTGGTATATATATAAGACGCTCACAACGTGACGGAATAATGTGTGTGGGTAGTGAGTAATTGAACTGCAGTCAGAAAGTATTGTTGAAGTTAACGTTCGTTGTTAAAACGTTTGTTATAGAGCGACTGTTGAAAATAAGTGTATCGGTAAAGTTATATTCAGAAAGAATAAACCAGTTTTATTAAGTAAGGACTTGTGTCGCTAAAGTTTCGTCGGAACGAAGTTACGGAAAATCAATTAACAAACGGAGACGTAACAATACTTACATGTTCTACAGTAATTCTTGTACGCTGAATCCGAAAATGATATCCATTTTTCTCCATCACGTACAGATTTTTTACAAAACGTCATAACGCAATACATAAAAGATGTTTGTTTGTTTGTAATTAAGCACAAAGCTACACAATGGGCTATCTGTGCTCTGCCCACCACGGG